CCGGGCCTGGCCCTGCGGCCGTGCCCGGAGCACCCGCTCGGTGCCCCGAAGAGAACTGATAAAAGTTCTGGGCAAGGCTCAGAGCAGCCAAAGGCTGTAGGGTTGTCAGCAGTTGTGCGGGTGTTCTTTTCCAACGTACTTGAACGAACTGAATTTTTTTTTATTACTAGAGTGAAAATATTGATCTTGTGTTATACTTTTACCGTGGAATGACTTTTTCTTCAGCTGGTAGTCACAGTAGGGTCAGTCGTAGTCGTATCTACAGTCAACAGCCTGTAGTAAACGAAATCGTCATGCCAGACAGACATGCAGAATTAGGGAGCAGTTCATTTGCAAGACTGAGTAAAAAGACAGTCTTTTAATGCATCATTCAATTATTCGATGTGCCTTTGTGTAAAACCAGAAATATTTCCCAGTTAGCATCTTTGTTCTCCTGTTGGAGAAGTGAATTAAATAATAATTGGGGGAAAAAACCTCTGTAGCAGAAATAGCAGGACCTTAGTCTGTTTCACTGCGTAAAAAAGTAACATCTACCAAAGGTGATGGACTTTATTATGGCATAGTATTTTCTGATGTCTGGAGAGAGAACAAGAAGTGATGAGCACCAACTCAAACACAGGCAATTCAACTTAAACATAATAATAAAATACTGTGAGGTGGTTCAGCACTGGACCAGGTGGGAGGTACATGAGACATGAGTGGACAGGACACCAAGCAATCCTCCTGTGATTGATCCAGCTTTGAGCAGGAACTTGAACTAGACAATCTCCAGAGCTCCCTTCCAACCTCCACCATTATATGGTTTCCTTCACAGTGCTTTTGTAGGAACTCTGGTCCCAGTTTTTCTGAGCTGGTATTTAATGTTATACCATTAAAAAAAAGAATTTCTGTGCTTGCTGATGAAAAAATGTATGAGTTTTTGAGGTGTTTTTAATTAAGGTTGAACCTTTGGCTGCAAGACTTAGTGGTAGGTGGTTTTTTTTCCATCTCATATGGCTATGACCTGAGGATTGACAAACTCTAGAAGAAAGGAACTAATATTGTTAGTCTGAAGCAGCATTCAGATATTTTGAAAAAAGTTATTTTCTAGTCCAGTTTTTCTTGTATATATATAGGAAATAGATGAATAAGTTAAAATTCTGGTTTTGCAAATTGTGATATAGTGGATAGAAAACACATTCATGGGTCTCATGTAAATTACATTTCTAACATTCAAGAGCAGCTGTTCATAAATGTTAAATGAACTTGCTAGCTTTACATGGTGTTCTGACTTTAAGGGAACTGAAATGCCATTTCAAGTCTTCTGTTTACATTAATTGCATGTAATTGTTCTTCCTTTTTGTATTATTTTGCATTGTGAGTTTCTGTGCACATTCATTTCTGTGTTTTTTTTCATTGTGATCCTTAAAGTCATTGTCAACTAATTTTATTTTAAATCATTTAGAAACATATAGCTCATGGCCTGGTCCCTGCTGCTACCATAGCTCCTAAACCTGCAGTTCCCCGCACCCCTCCCCCTCGTAGTCCAAACCCTTCTCCAGAAAGGCCAAGGTATGTTTTGATTATTTTTTTTAAAATATTTTTTCTAAATTTTTTTGTTGTTTTGTCGAGTATTGTAGCATACTAGAAAAGCCTGATTAGAAGAATTGCATGTCATTACAATACTTACACAAGTTTTCATAAAATACTTAAAAACTTAAATTTTTAAGGGGGTAGTTTCCCACTCTGAACTTTTTTCCCCACCCCTAAGCTTGGTAAATATTCAGGACAGTAACTGTTATGAACATGTGACTTACCTGAGTTAATTAAAGACAAATGAGCTATTTAAAGTTAGCATAATTTTTAATTTGGCTGCTACAGCAGACTGTAGGAGTGCAGCACTAGTAATGTGAGTCAGAAAATACTAGCTCATTAGAAAAACATAAATTAAACCTTGCTTCCAGGAACTTTAAAAACTGTCATGTAATAAAACCACGCTGGATTGGGAAAATATAAATTATTTTTCTTTTAGGTTGTGGTTTCTTACAGATTTTATTCTATGTTTTCTCTGTGTTTAGTTAAATTATGGTTGTTTGCCATGGTCTTTCTAGTGTCTGTAACATTCCTGCTTAATTCTAGTTAATTTCTTCTTCCTTTTTGGCCTCAAGTTCTCAGCATTTCACTGCTTTAATCTTAGTCACTAGTTACTTTTCCTTTTCATCATACCCTTCTCTGTACTCCACAGCATCACACAAGTGGGTGCTTTTGTTTGCTTGTCCTGGTTTGCAGTGTGCCAACCTTTATTAACAACTTCAGAGTCATCAGAAAAGGTTTAGAGTAGGGAATAATGGAGACAAGGTAGCAGGACATGGAAGACCTCTTCAACACAACACTAGGTAGTATTGTGGCTAAAGTGAATGCTAAATACTGTGAATTATTGATGTGAATTTTGGGGAAGTAACTCAGTATATTCCATGACTTTCATGCATGTGATTTGGGAAAACCAATAGATACTGTACCTTACTCTTGGATAGCTGCATTACAATATCTTCTCCCATTTTGTGCTTTACTTTGGGAGGTAATAGTTTATAACCAGTCCCATAGCATTCAGTGGTATTTATGCTTATTAACTGTGACCATTTTGCTTTGATTAAATAGCGAAGACATTTTGCAAAGGAAAAGATACAAAATGTGGAGCACAGAGAAAGCATCAGTATTGCTTTATTGGTTTATTCTGTTTTCTTCCAGGTCTGCTCTAGCAGCAGCGATCCTTACAACAACACTAACAGGGCGCACTGTTGCTATTCCTCAGCCTCAGCAGCGATCGCTTTCTGAAAGTGATGCCACCTACTTGGAACAAGAATGTTTTGAACCGTATGCAACAGTCACAGAGCTCAGAATAGGGTAGTGTATACTTTCTGGTTTGATATCTTAAATTAGAAATGGAATCTCTCAAAGAGTGACAGCAAACTCCTGCTGTTTACAGTTACTTAATTTTTCTTAGCACATCATAAATTCAGGCTGAAGTATCTAACAATCATTATTCCATTTCTTCCATTTCACATACCATCTTAAGAGAGGCAGATTTGGATTGTACAACAGTCCTAAGTAAAATCATATACTACTTCTGTCAAATGATGATCAATTTTACAGAATGTGATGAGCTGAGAAACTGAATTACATGTAAGATATTTACTTTGTGCTAAAATTATTATTTCAAACTGTCTTTTTGGTAAAATTAGGAACCTTCTATCTCTAATCTGTCATTTTAAGGTAATGAGGAAAAGGTAGCGTTAATTGTTTTAGAGTATACACATAGACTATGTCTTGGAGATGGTTTATTATCCCATACCATTTGTGGGGTTTTTGGTCTGCTTTGCTTAGCAGTGCCCAGGGTGGCTGCTGTCCCCGCCCCATGCTCCCTGGCTGTGGACAGGCTGTCTGTCGCAGGCTGTCCGGGACTGTGGCAGTGAACGGGAACCGAGGCGGGGTTTGCGGAGCGAGTTTGGGGCGAGAGGCAGCCCTTCCCTTTGGGTGTGGGCTGTTCCACCGGACACACGCAGCCGGGATCTCTGACCAGGGATCCTGCTGTTTCTGAGGGCTTTGCCTGCTTCTTTTTCGTTTGTTTTTTCTTGCTTTGGCACTGTGACTGAGCTTGCCGGCTTGGCTTCTTTGGCTGCTGCTCTGTCGGGCAGCCCGGGGCCGGTGGTGCCCGGCCGGCCCGGGGAAGCCCCGCTTGCCGCCGGGCGCTGTCCCAGCCGCGGGCCCGCGGACCAGCGAGCGCCGCTGGGAGAGCCCGGGGAG